TGGCAGGACAATGGTGAATAATTTGAAAGAACAATATGACGAGGTGCTACAGAAACCCTACGATGGGCACCCAACAGCAGCTTGTCATGTAGCGAGACACGTGAAAGGCAACACAAAGAAGAAATGATATATTAAATAACGCCAAAGCGAGTCTCAAGTGTTTTCCTTTGCCAGCAAACAAAGAATCTTTACATTGGAACAATAACCTCAAAGTGTTTTGCAGACAAAAGCCTGTAATTGCCTCTATAATGAGTAATTATTTCAATTTGCCACTTTCCTGCCATGTTGGTTCCTGGGTTGAGAGAGACAGAAATCAGCGAGTGGGAGGCTCATAAAAGCTGGAGGAAAACGAAGTCCTTTGTCTCCACACATTGCACGGTGCTGGACTTGAGAACTTTTAAACTTATACGTGACGAGAGCATTGAGAGCTCAGTGTCCAGAAAAGTAATTACCTTTTGGGCCCCACACTGATGGAGAATACCAGGCTGCAGCAATGGCTCCTGAGAGTATGCCTGCCAAAAGTCCATTTCTTATTTCCGTGTGTACATTCAATGGACAAAGCACGTGCTGCAATAATTAGCTGATAGTAGAGCCCCGCAAATCCACAGATGTCTGTTTTATATCCTCGGGGATCTGTGGCACATTTTTGCAGATACAGATACGGATACAAATTTTGGATCTAGCCCCTTGCAAATTTGTGTATGTCTGCTTTATAGCCATGGGTATACGCTAAGGATGTTAAAATGCGTTTAATTATGTAACTGTGAAATGCCGTTACATGCGGGGCAGCAGGCGGCTCCCTGGGAGCTGGAGCACGCAAGGAGCTGGCTTTTAAGCCAGCTCCCGAGCAATCTGGGAGCCTGCGCGTAACTGTGACGGTTAACCAATGAGCCAGGCTACACTTTCAGTTACACTTTCACATCCCTAGTATCCGCATCTGCAGATGTGGCTCTCCTCAGATCATTTCTGCAGCTGCGGAGGCAGATACCAATTGGCTGTGTCTAGACTGGCAAGTGTTTCTGCAAAAGCGGCTGACACTGGCCACTTGAAGTTGCGCAAGAACACTGACGATCTGATGTAAGATTGTCAGTGTTCTTCCACAAATACTATGATGCTCCCGTTTGGGAAAAAACCCTCTTGCGCAAATATATTTGTGCAAGAGGGCCAGTGTAGACAGCTCAGGACTGTTTTGTGCAAAAGAGCCCTGATGGCGAAAAGGGCGATCGCGGCTTTCTTGCGCAAAACCGCGTCTAGATTGGCAAGGACGCTTTTCCGCAAAAATGCTTTTGCGCAAAAGCATCCATGCCAATCTAGATGCTCTTTTCTGCAAATGCTTTTAACGGAAAAACTTTTCTGTTAAAAGCATTTGCGGAAAATCATGCCAGTCTAGCCGTAGCCATTGTGTATCCACACAGGACTCTACTAGATTTAGAAATAGAAAAGGCCAGGCCAGAACACACCTCAGCCCACAGCGCGTCCCAGCTGTATTGCTTTGTGCAGCATGTCTTTCCAAAGCAATGGGGCTTCCACAGTGACCCGGGGGCTCTTCCCACATGGCTCGCAGCTACGAAGTGTTTGGTGAGACTCATTCTTAAATGTCCCTTCCTTAACTCTGAGAGGCAGGACGGCGCGGTGGGCTGGGGTCAGTTCCTAGTTCTTGGTGCCTATCCTGTACGGAAGAGAGAGAGGTGAACCTCCTCCCTTATTTCGGTTGTAAGATTTCCTCTCCTGTCTGTGCAGTGCCCAACACAGAGGGGCCCAGTCTGGGTGTGGCCTCTCCGTGTACTGTAAGGTAAGTGGAATCCCATTGTTCTGACTGACGCCCCTTTGTACCACTCCAAAGAATTCCCCTCTGGCCACCAGACCCTTAGTTGTGTGCGTGCGTTGTGTGTGTGTTTGTGCGCTATACAAACGTACCTACGCTCATCAGTCCTCACCCGTCAGTCCCCGATTATCTTTGTTGTTTTCTTCTCAACTTTCTCCCGAGTGACGAGATTGTGCTAGTGCCGGCCGGCCCGGCACTAAATACGGGGGGTTAGTGCCGGGACAAGTGGGCTGTGTGAGTCCCAGAGGAGCGCCCACCCTGATGCTTAGTTCCAGCGCCCTTTTGGGACAGGGATGTCGGCTGCTCCTGGGAGCCATTTAAGCACTGAACAGTAGCCCTGGTCTTTCAGAACCACTGCCAGAATAAGACCAGGAAAGTCTGCGCATTTACTCCAGGCTTGGGCACCTTGGAGCAGTAAAAGGACGTGGGTGCAGGTTTTTCCTGGAGAATGGTGTCTCCCGGGGAGCGGTCACCAGCTTGGCCTGAAACCATCAAGTTGTCCCAGGCGATTATTAATCCATTATTAAACGAGGGAGCCAAGCATAGGCCAGTCCCAGGCCTGAGCCCTGAGCTCTGGCCTTGCAGACAGAAAGCCTTCCCTGGGTGTGGTGAAGACGCTGGCGTGTCAGGGGGTAAAACTTGTTTCTCTCTGTCCATGGCTTAAAATAATCCTGCGGCCTCACAGGGTGACAAATGAGTCACCCTCCTGACCCCGCAGCACCCAAGACAACCGGGGTGCGCTTTGTGGGATGTGGGGGAGACCCATGGAAACAGGGACCATTTTACCCATACACAGAACATGCAGCTGTGTAGGGCCCCTGAACATTTGGGGCACCGCTGGGTCTTACTGTCCATCCACCCGCCTCTTCCTGCCCCTGCTCTATGGCTCGGCTTCCTGCAGAGAGGATCTAGTGAACTGACAAGTGAAAAGGCCGAACTGATTGGCAGAACATTGACCCAGTGAAAGAGCCATTCCACAGGCATTTGCCAACCCTGGGTACATACTGTTAGTGTCTGAATATCTTGGGTCAGTCAGTCGACAGGACCGGAGTTTAAAATTTGCTTTAAAAATATTTCATTGGTGAGTTGCTGACAATTATAAAATCACAGCTCTAAAATCATTCCCCCTGCCCCACACCTGCCCAGGCTGCAATGAGGCATAGAGTCACCAGGCTGTAGTCCAGCAACATCTGTGGTCTGGCAGGATTTTAGTTAGCCAGATGTCACTTATCATGAGTGTGGCCAAGTTTCCTGCAGTCCCATAAGTTTGTTTACAGCCCCCAGTGTTGGCTCTCAGCGTTCTTTGCTGTGATTTAGCTCTAACTTACCCCTAGATATCTCTAAGGGTATGTCTATTCTTGCACCTTAGTTCAAACTAGGGATGCAAATGCAGGCATTCGAAATAGTCAATGAAGCGGGGATTTAAATACCTGCATATTTCAAATGCCTGCATTTGCATCCCTAGTTTGAACTAGGGTGCAAGTATAGACATACCCTAAATCCCAGCAAGCAGTGGCAATGTTGCTAATACTGCTAGGCAATATTGACCTCCCGTGGTCTGACAAACTGGTTTGGCACCGGTCAGGTCCCAAGAGTGCCGGACTGGAGAGGTTCAGCCTGTAGAACGTTCGAAATCTCTCCAGGACACAGCTGGCCTTAGCAGAGTCCCCAGGAAGTGAAAAGGGACATGTCTTTAAGAGAAAACCCTTTGGGGGTTTACCACTGTTTCCTTTGTTGGTTTTTGATTTTTGTGGGGGATGGTGGTTGGTCTCCCCTCTTCCCTCCCCCTCCCCCCGCCACTTGAAGGGCAGTTGATCAGACAGTACAAAGGGGGCTTTCCTCGCCATTCCTATCCCCCGTACTGTGTGCATCCCAACTTGTTACAGCACATCCATGCAGGGCGCCAGCTGCTAGGGCGCCAGCTGCTACATGCACAACTGCTCCTCCAGCGCTTGGTGAATGTTGGGATCCCTGAGCAAACCTGCCTGTTTCAGCATGTTGGAAGAAACCTCTTCCTCTCTGCCCCCACCATGAAATAATCCCAAAGCTCCACTGACGAGAGGCACCCCGGCTGCTGAAGGCCGGTTCCGGGAGCTGATTGGATCGGTGGGGTGTGTGTGGGGGGGGAAGGGAGTCACATGGCGGGGAGCTTGTGTCTCTGTGTTCTTGGCTAACTCCCCCACCCGACGGGCATGCGGGCAGTGGCTGTATCGTCTAGGAATAGCATGTACCGGCACGCACACACACACCCATGTGCAGCCAGGTGGAGAGCAGCGGGCTATTGGAATATGACATTTTGTGGCTGGGGCAGGCAGGCCTCAGCCAGCAGACACGGGGCCAGAAGAAAGAGCTGCCCTGCCTCTTGCAGCCCCGGTGACGTCCTAAGCCCAGTCCTGATGGGGCTGGCAGGCGTGTAACCGAAGGCAGCAGCTGGCTCTTGGCAGTTGCTCTCCCCCAGGCGATGGCAGGGGGAGCCGTTCCCCCTGCTCCTTAACATGCTTGTCGCTTTCGTCACGTTGCCCCAAACCTTGTGCCCTTACAAGCCCTGCCCTGTGTTCTGCCTGAAAACCAGGCCGGCCGGCCAAAGGCACGGGCATGGCCTGTCGCGCTGATGCAGCCAAGGTGCAAAAAACCAGAGGAAGATGGGGCAGTGGAGGAGGAAGGCGGCAGACCAGGGGGCCTCAACAGGAGTCATTTCTAAAACGCAGGTCCTGCAATCTGCCTCAGCGCCATGAAGGGAGGCACATAACGCCCCCCCCCCCCCCCGCGCCAAATCACAACCAACGCACTTGGG